AAGAGAAGGATACTAATAGCCAGAGATCCATATGGCGTAAGACCTTTGTTCAAATTATATTCGGATGATGGACAACTGGCTATCTGTTCAGAAAGCAAGGTGCATTGATAACAGATTATTTCTTCCCCCCCCCCCCCCCTGATCACTAATCTATAATTGGGACATATAAATCCTAGTGACTGTAATTGGAACAGTTTTCTAATTTTTAAATAATTGTATTTGGAATAATTTTATGTTTTATAATCTTGTTTTTCACAGTTTTGTTTTCTATTTATGTATAATTATAAAGTAAATCATTTTAATCAAGAAAAAGATTCAATACAAGTTGTTATCAGTAAGTTTTAAAAAAAAACTATGTCAATTGCAAAAAATTGTAGTCCATAGGATAAATTTTATTTTATGTTCAAAATCAGCATAAAAAATACAGAAGAATTGGTCAAAGTTATGCATTTAAAATCATTGTCAATCTGTGTCGATATATCATGCTATATTTCTGCTAAGTTTAAGAATTGTAGTTTTTTATATTTTATTCAAAAATTTTGAAACTTCTGAAATTAATAACAAAAAACTTTAGTAAGTTCCAAGGCCCTTATATTCCTTTAGCACAAATTATGTATATGCTTTTGATTACAAATTAAACTCCTTGCTAATTATGCTATTTTATATATACCTATATATATAGTTTTTTATTTACAATATAATGTTTTAGGGTCTGATGGCAATATCGAAACACATAGACAGCAACTGGACACTAAAGCCATTTCTTCCAGGACATTATGAGGAATATGAAATTTTGCAAGATGGTCGAACTAAACTTCTGGAGAGTTGCTGTTATTTCAAACCCGGCGATAAACCTTCATTCCTTCCATATGTCTCTTGGAACGGTGAGATAAATTATGATTGATTCAATTATCATAAAATAAATTTATATATTATAGATAAATTTACCGATTAATGTGCATCCTGTATACCGAAAGTATACAAAAATTTTATATTTTATTTATTACAGCTTTGATTTCAAATGATGTTCATGGCAACATCCGAAAGCTGCTGTCAGCTGCTGTGGAGAAACGATTGATGGCAGATAGACGGATAGGATGTTTATTGTCAGGTGGATTAGATTCTAGCTTAGTTGCTGCTTTACTAGTAAAGCAAGCGAGAGAACATAACTTAAAATACAAAATACAAAGCTTCGCGATAGGTATGGATAATAGCCCAGATATCATCGCTGCTAGACAGGTTCATGAAAACTTTAGCACTTTATTTCTTTTTTCATTGATAATTGCATGAAGGTTGAAATTTCTTATGTATTTTTTTCTTATGTAACAGGTTGCAGAATACATAGGAACTGACCATCACGAAATTATCTTTACGCAGCAGGATATAATTAATGTACTGGACAATGTTATATATTCTTTGGAAATATACGACATTACTACTATTCGCGCTTCAATTGGGTGAACTACTTTATTTGATCTTGCAATTTAGTTTCCAAACTATTTAATGTTACAAATTTGAAAGTCATAGGAAAAGATAATTTTGCATGTAATTTTTTTTTCTTTTCTTACTTTTTTAGACTAAAAAAGATAATCTGCTACATCGTTAAATAAAAAGTACCTTTAATTTATTTTTCATTAGATATAGAAAACGTTTCTTATGGAGATGCTTTATATTTACGATAAAAGTTGTATAATGGTGAAATATGCTGTAATACTGAAATTTTTTACTTATAGGATGTATCTTATTTCAAGATACATAAAACAAAATACCGAAACGACTGTGATCTTTAGTGGAGAAGGTGCGGATGAGTTGGCACAAGGCTACATTTACTTCAGAGATGCGCCTGACGCAATAGACGCACACAACGAATCTCTTAGATTGTTACAGGATATATATTTATACGACGGTTTGAGAGCAGATAGAACAACCTGTGCCTTCAGTTTGGAACTCAGAGTTCCGTTTTTAGATCTTCAGTTCACTAACTATTATTTATCGTTGGAACCTAGTAGTAGACAACCACAAGGTAGAAGATTTAATCGATTTAAACATTAGGTCTATTCTTTTTAGCTGTACTTATTCATTTTTTTTTTTTTCAAAATTAAAACTTTTTTTAAAGAGTCAAGGATTATTGCTTTAAAAAATATACTTATTGTTACTAATGATAAATATTACAAATATAATAAAATTATTCATTAATTTATAAATAAAAATTTTGGTAAATACCACTGGTAAATATTATTTGGTATTTATATACACAGATGGAATTGAAAAGCATTTGTTAAGATCTGCGTTTGACGGAACTGGTTTACTGCCCAACAATATACTTTGGAGACATAAAGAGGGGTTCAGTGATGGTGTAGCTTCCATAAAGAAATCTCTTTTCCAAATAATTCAAGAAATTGTAGAAGATCGCGTTTCAAATGAGGATTTGGAGAACGCGTATACCAAGTATCCCCATTGCACTCCAAGAACGAAGGAAGCATACTACTACAGGTAATAAAATAGAAATATCTTTTTTCAGTAAACTTTCTCATTATTCAACTGAACTGGATAATGTATTATTCTTTTTGCTTTTGTTAGAAATATCTTCGAGTCATATTATAAGGGACAAGCGGAAAGTTTTACACCTTACTTCTGGATGCCACGTTGGGTGAAGGGCGTTACCGATCCTTCTGCGCGATTTATTAAACATTATGCTGCAAACGAAGAAAGTCTGCTTACAACGACTTCAGGAGAAAAATAAAGATTAAGAATATGCCAAATTAAAATGCCAAATCTTATAGGACACGTGAGAACACAATAGGAAATAATAAAAACCTTTAACGGCCTAGCTGAATCTTAGATGCCTTTAGAGTACTTAGAACACTTACATGGAATTGAAGAAATAAACATTTAGTAAACATTCAGTCTACAATCGTTCACTGTGCGCTCAGTATACTGCGTATTTTGATTATATTTGATTAAATATTAATATAAAATATCGAAAGTTTGTGCCTTCGCATATCCTTATATATATATATATATATGGATATATATATATATAATAAAACGTGCAAAAAACAACGATATTCTCTAATATCGAATTATTTCCAATCAATATATTGCTGTATCAATACTGCGTATTTTGATGCATATTGATACAAAATATTGATAGTCTGTGCTTCTCTAGTAGTATATAAATTCACACAGAGAATTATACAAACACCTAAGACCCAGCTAGACCGTTGAAGATTACGAATGTATATATATGTACACTATGATGATTTGAGAAATTAAGATGTTAATGAAGGTGTTTTTATAGAATATATTCTCACTTTGTGCACATTTGTGATTAAATAAAATACATATTGAAAAATATAATTTATTAAAGCAAAATATGTATCGTCACATGGTTGCGTTGACTTTCTATAACTATATTATATTTAAAAATAATATAAATATCTGATAATAATTTAGGACTTGGATTAAATTATTTCAATAAGAAGTACTAAAAAATAGTTATTATCAAAATGAAAGATTATTAAATTTCCTGCATTTTGATTTTTTAATAGTTTGTATACGATTAATAATTACTGAGATACAGCATATATTATCGACTTTAAAATTTTGCAAATAAATTTTTTTGGCAATTATTATCGACCATGAAAATGAAGGCACAAATTGAAAAAAAGAAATCCCGTTTTCAAACGTCTGTATGTCGGTCAATGTTTATTGCGTATAAATTAACAACCCACCATTTCGTAGAAAATTTTCTAAGCTTCAATTTTTATCTAAGGTATTTTTTATCTTGCAGAAATTGAGATATTTAATATAGTGATAACAAGAAAAGCAGCAATAAAAAAAATAAACCTTTTTTTTTTTTTAAGGAAAAAATTGGGAATCATAAAAAGCAATTGTACCCCTGGTGGGACTCGAACCCACAATCCCCGGTTTAGGAGACCGATGCCTTATCCATTAGGCCACAGGGGCTGTTGACGTTCAGATCTTTTTACAAGAGTACATATCGTCAATATTCTGCTTTCATGGAAAATGATAAATTCAAGAAGAATACGTGCGCATGCTATATAAAGATCGGGCGGTATGAGAAATGGTGAAATAGTGGATTTTTCTTTCCGTTAATACCTTTGACTATACAACTATGGACTGCTAGTTACTTCACTCTATCTTTTTCATAAGATAGACAAAGAGACTCGCATAGCAAACATCACGCGTGCCTCTGCCAGTGAAATGGCGAAAAATCGAAATATAAAGTCACATTTTGATGGTAAAACAGGAAGAAAGAGAGAGTTGGAATATGACATTTTACATTATTTTATTAGATTTAGTAAAATGCAGAATCAAAATAAAATATGCATGTGTAAACTTAATACATAATAGTAAAATATAGATAACAAGTGTTAATAAACATATACAATATATATGTTACTTATCTTATAATAGCTATATAAATATAATTTTAATGTCCAAAAAAGAATGTTATTATATTAATAGTGATAGAGAGATAAAAAACGAGACAATATAATATAAAGCAAGAAATGAAAACCAGTTTATTAAACATCAAAATTAATAGAAAAAAAAGAATTAAAACTAGTTTTTTTTATAACAATAATCAATTTAAAAAAATATTTTAATCTTTTTTTATTTCTATAATTTTGTTTTTGTGCGTCATGAAAGCAGATTTCAAATATGTATCTCTTAATTATTTCACTTTAAATACAAGTGTAATTGTACCGCATAAACAGACCAAACAAACATGTTCCAGCCTTCCAGGTTTCACTGTTCATCACTGTTCCAGATTCTAGTTGATTTTCCAACGTGCGGGCGAATGGTTTTTCGCTCTTAAACTTCCGTTTAAAAGTTGTTATCGTTTGTTGTTGTTTATAATACAGATTTATTTTCGAATGATTAGAATTACGGTGATATTAAGTGGCGCAGTTTATATAGCACAAGCAATTTTACAATTTTACATTTTGCCTGTATGCAAAATTACCAACGTGCGTATGATAAGGTTAGGTTAGTTCTAAAACGCCGAATATGATCTTTGCGCGCGCTACTGGATTGCTTTCCAAGTACCTGTATCGTGGGACTCAACGTTGTTTAAATAACGGTAATTATACGAGATTGTTATATAAATCATTGAGATATGCTTACTTGAAAAATGAAAAATTCGCCTTGCCTTACATATCTATCAGCTTTACCTTAGGATCAGTTTTTTTCATATTGGTTAACTTGTAGTTTAGATTAATTTTGCTTGATAATGTAAAAATTATTTTTGTAGCTATAATAAATCACTAAACTAATATAGTTTTGTAGTGGAAACTTTTTAATTTATCAAAATCTTAAATACTAATAATGGTGTGACATATATGTCTACACATTTCTTTCAATGTAAATTATTTAACCTCAATTTAACTTCCTCTATTTTAAAATTTTAAGAATTAAAAAAGAAGATAAGGATTAAATTAAAGAGAGATTAAAATTAATCCACATTAGTGGAAATGAATTAATAAAATATTGTATTATTTTATTAATATACTATAGTATATGTATATATAGAATTAATTCTTAATAATTAGAATATTGAATGTCGAATTTAAGTTGTTTTTATTTTCATCTATGCCAGAGTAAAATGTTCACTTATCAGTTTTAAAATTACTCTGAAAAATCTTTCATTTTACGTAAATTATGCGATTTGCACACCGGCAGAAACACGAAAGGAAGTTAAAAATGAGAAGCACATTGTCTGGCTTGATATGGAGGTGAGCAATTATTATGTATTATATCTAACAGTACAAAAAAGATAATGAAAAAACTTTAAAGCTGGAACTGTATTTTTCAGATGACAGGACTAGAAGTAGAAACATGTCATATTTTGGAAGTTGCATGCTTCATAACAAATGAACAGTTAGAGCTTGCAAGTGATCACTTAAACATAGTTATAAATCAACCGGATAAAGTTTTAGATAATATGTCTGATTGGTGCAAAATACAACACAAAGAGGTAATATTTATTTTTCTTGAAAAATCTCTTTTGTACTACTATAATAATATAATTATTAATTGTTACTAAAATTAATTTTAGAATGGCTTAATTGATGAATGTCGATTGAGTAAGACTACATTGGAGGAAGCACAACAAAGGACATTGAATTTTTTAGAGAATCATATCCCAAAAGGAGCTTGCCCATTGGCTGGAAACTCAGTTTACATGGATCGCATATTCCTGAAAAAGTACATGCCGTTGATTGACAATTACTTGCACTATAGAATTATCGACATCAGTACAATTAAAGATTTGGCTAGGTAAATTTAGATAATCGATACATAACTATAAAAGCGTAACAAATATATTTGCAAATTTGCGTATAAGAACATTATAAAAGCATCAAAATCTGTTTTGACTAAACATGGGAAACTTTCATTAATTTTATTTTTGGCCTAAATTGTTTACTTATATAAGTTTAAATAAATTACAATTTGCACGTTAATTTATTTCGTAGATTGATATATATTTTTTCTTGTTTTAATAAAAATTTTTCTGTTTAGGAGATGGCATCCAAATATAAGTAAAGGAGTTCCAAAAAAACAGCACTCTCACAGGGCTGAACACGACATAAAAGATAGTTTAAATGAGCTTCGTTATTATAGGAAAAATCTATTTGTATCATAAAGTTAAAATAAAAAAATGAGATTGTTAATTTTTTTTATCATCGTCATGATTATAAACAACGTGCAGTTAATGACTACTTGTACATCAAGTTGCGATATACTTTACAAAGAAACAAATACAAATAAATTTTATTTCATGGTTTTGCAGAAAGTACTATGTAAAAAACATGCATGTCAATGTATCAGAATACCTTTTTGGAGAATAGAAAAAAGTATAATATTTCAACTAGAAAAACACAAGACTCGTCGCGTTAGTTTTATGTATTTTAGTATTATATGTACATACATAGATATATATATATATATATACATAAAATGTATAAAATATATTTTAATTTTGAATATGTCATAAATAAATTTTAAATAATAACTAAATAATTATTTAGAGTAATACATAAACACGTATATTACTGAAACGCAAAAACTGGCAGAAAGATTTGTATCGGATTTTAGATAGATCATCTAAATCTCGTAGAAAAAAGTATCTCGATCGGACGAGAACACATAGATACCGCCGACTACGCGTCAGTATGTATGTGCGTCTCTCTCTCGGTTGTAGATCCATGTAGGTCAGTGCGGTGTTGATCAGCGTGGGTGCATTGGGGTGCGGCGCAGGGCACGCGAACGTTAGTCGACGTCGGTGACTATTCGGGGGGGACTGACTGACTGGAGACTGGGAGACGCGATCGGGAGTGATCGAGAATGCTCGCAGCTGGCTACCGCGCGAGAGAGCGAAAGGGTGATGGCGAGTAGCGATGGTAGTGCTGGGTGACAGTGTTGACGATCGCCGCGGATCTTTTTTTTACGGATGGCTCTGTCCGAGGTGCATAATCTGGCCGCGATTATCGGCAGCAATGCTTTCGCCGCTGGCAAGGTGAGGGGACGTTCTCTTTCTCAACACATATATATATATCTGTAATACATACATTCTTGTACCTTCGTCGATCTGAAATTTGGAAGGTGACGGAAGTATGTATCTATACGTTGTGTGTGCCGACGGTTTTTTTAGTCTAGCTACACCGCGTTTACACTCTCTACACTCGTAATGACATAAGCATGTATACTCGGGCGTCGCGGAGGGAAAAAGGAAGAGGAGGAGAGGTTGCGTGAAATCGCGGCTAGGAAGAACGGACCGGTCGCTCCGCCGCACGTTCGACAAGGAAGGCGAAAGGGTGCGATCCGCATTTGTTTGTACTCGTCCATGTACCGTTAATACGGAAACTGGGCGAGCGAAAACGCCCACGGGATGAGACCCGTTTTGCTCGGGTATCATAATTTCCGCGGGTGTGCAAATGGTGACGATATTCGCTCGCCGATCGCCGACGAGCGAGGATACTCGCGCGTATTATTGGATCTGCTCTCGGTACGCTCGTTGCTGCCTGTCCCGTCCTGTTGTGTTGTTTGCCTATATCTATACTATGTGTGTGTGTGTGTGTGTGTGTTCTGCGTGTGTGATGCGTGCGTGTGCGTTTTTGCGCGCCTGTGTCGCGACCCCGATCGTGACAGCGATAGCCTCGACCATCGTGCGCTCTCTCTCGCGTTCGATTCGTTATTAAGATTCCATCGTCATCACGGCTCGCCGCGACGTAGTCGCGTAACATTCCCGAGCCGCCCTCGAGTCGCCGCCGTTCGAAAACAATCGATAGACGTCTCTCTCTTTCTTCGTCGCCGCGCGACTCCGTCCCCCGCTGGCCTCTCGAGAGCGAGCGAGAACGAGTGCCGGGAGTCACGGTCGCCCGTTGAATCGCGCCGCACGTCGTCATCGCGACGCGTGCCTCGAATATGAGGCGAATATGAGATCTTACACGACGATGACTTGCTTTCTGTAGAATAACGAGACCGAGCACGGTGCCAATATGTTGGAAGTACCACGGAAAGTTTACTCTAGAGACGTGCACGGTGTGGAGTACAATCATTGGAGCTATGACTTAACGGGTTGCGGCACAAAAAGAAACGTAAGTAAAAAGTGCTTTTTTTACCACTGCATTGGACCGCATAACATTTTTTTTGCTTTTGCTAAATATTAAACACACACAGCCATATCTATTTTGTGTTAGGTTTGTTTCTTTCAGCTGACTTTCTGTATAGTATATCTTTCTTCATTTCCTTTTGACGTTGAGGAAAAAAAGAAAGATAAACTGTGCAAAAAATTTAGTTAAAAAGGATAAGTTATAAGTGCACAGAGTGTACACTAGTTTAATTATAAAATATAGATCTAAGATGTTATATATATATATATATATATATATATATATACTTGTTTTTTTTATCTCTACACACTAGAATTTTTTGTTTCTACAAAATTTTAAATATACTTATTTACTTTAGGTCTGTTTTATATAACTGAATTAGTTGTATACTTTCTATCCTTTCTGAGTGAAATAGATGGTAATAGTATGTGTTTAAAATTTGATGAAAGCAGGAAGGAAGGTTCTGATGTAGTCTAATGCAAGAATAAAATATAAAACTTTTAAATACAAAGAGTGTAACCAGTTTAATTTTAATGTACAGCCCTAATATCTCATATTTGTTTTTGTTCCTGCACTAAAAGCTTTCTTCTTGCTTAACCCATTTTATTTTTTTCTATTTCTACAGCTGAACCTGTGTCATACTTTTTGTACTTAAAGTGAAATAGATATTCTAAATTTCATTAAAGCAAGAAAGAAAATTCTAATGTAATTTAATGGAAAAGTAAAGAGCAAATCTCTTTTGAGTAGAGAGTATACTAGTCAGGCTATAAAAAAAAACAGATCTGAGATTTTGATGTGTAAGATTGCCTCAATCTCTTTGTATATACAACAGTTTTATGTTTTTATTGTTGCACTAAACTACCCTAGAACTTTTTTCTGGCTTTTATCAAATTTCAAGCATGTACTATCTCAAATTTTAAGTATACTAATTTTAAACTTAAATATAAAAAGTGTTCACTGTGGATTCTCTTCAGCAAGAATCACAGATAACACAGAGTATCATAAAATAACTTACCGTTGGTGCTTTCCATTTAGTAACACAAATTAATACAAACATCATTCTCTTTTCCTTGTTATTCATGTGTAACAAAAACAGAACAACACTCGTGTCAACTTGTATCATCAAATGGAAAGCACCAACAATGAATCATTTTATCTCTGTGCTAATATTAACAAACAACAAGGATGTAATAAATTCACTGTAACACTATATCACTTGTGTCTTACCCTAATTTAGCTGTAAAAACAGATCTAACATCTCCTAATGGATTATTAATATCATGCATTCAATTGCGATTTGTTTAGATGAATATCGAAGACGAGGATAGTCAAGACTTAAACAATCCCATGATCAACGACTTGGTATCAAAGATTCTCGACGAAGATTCTATTACTATTGACACCTGTCATAATAATTACAACAGTGGAAGTACTCATTATCAGACGGATTACGCCAATTCTTACTCCAATCAAGTCGCTGACAGTTTGGACTACCTGACCGATGTAGATCATTTGATCACTCGTTATCCGCTGTCCAGCAAGTTACACAACATTCACAATAATGTCAAGAGCGAGTACCGTCATTCCAACAATCTCTGCAACGACCTGAAAACACTGAATCTCAGTACGTGCGTGCGACAGTCCGTGGAGCAGAGCAATGCGTGCAGCAACGATATCTTGCCAAGCGCATACTCGTCTGATCCACGATCGGTGCACATTGTACACTCCAACGATGGTGGCATGTACACGAGTGGGAGCAGCATGCCATTGTGCAATGATCTGTTAACGACTACGAGCGGAGCGAATTATAGTAAACAGTCGAACAACTGGACGGAACCCCTCCAGTTGACTCCATCGATGGGATGCCGAGCCGAGCTGACAGGGAACTACTCGCGAATCTCAAATTGCGCTAAACCGGATCTCAATTTTAATGTCACCGCGTTAACCCTGGCTCTGGATTCACCGAACTCCGTTCCCATCAGCGAGTTCGAGTACCATAACAGCGTGAGGCAGAACGCATCGTCTAATTCGTACAGTAATTCTATGGTCAACATGCACGACATGTACGGTGTTACCGGTAACCCTAGCCAGGGTCCCGGCTACAGACCCAACTCGGCGATGACCGATCTAAGCGTTGATTCCGGCTTCTTGTCGAACTCACCGTTACAACATTTCTCGCCTGCCGATACGACTTTGCACACCTGTTTTGGGAGTGGTATGCAACGCAACGGCATCGGTGACTTCAAGGACGTTCATGATACTACTAGATTAAATATGACGAGTATCAACATACCTAACGAGCAGATTCAGTTCTTGCAATCACAAGCACGTAGCTACAAACTGGATCAAGCAGTGGACCAAGATTACAAAAACTTAATCGATTATTATCCTCCCGGTACAAACAGCTTTGTCACATCCTCGGCGAGTAACTTAGACACGAACGAGAACGTTTGTTTCCCTAGCGACTGTAGAATCGATAATAGCCTGTTAAAGATGATTAATCCAAAATCAAAGTCCATTGAAACCAAAACTTATTCACCCATAGGATTTCCAAAAAATCTGAGTTCGCGCAACTTGTATCAGCCTATTGCTAAATACGGCTGTCACAATTATCAACAGTACACTGCCAACAGTGGCGACACTTTGAAGATACTGCAGCAAAATTCCACGTTTTATCACAACGATTTAAAGCAGCCTAAAGTCAACGCGTACAAATTGGACGGATTTGATATGACTAAAGAGATCGCGTTCCCCTCGGGAAGTCATTTGACCGACCATGTCACTGGATCTACAATGGACAAAGATGCCTTTAATCATATTTTGAAACAACGACACCATATATCGAAAATACAGAGCATTCCAGCTGGGATTCCACCTCCTGATATCATTTTTAACTCGGGAATGATGTCGAACACAAATACCGTGAGATCTGGAGCGTTTCCATCGGTGATGCCAGTTCCTGTTCCTGTACCGGTTCATCCTGTACCACGACTATTTTCCGCTCTTTACGGGGGAAACTTGAGCTTTAGAAATGGCAGCGGCGCGGCCAGGAAGACAGGACCCTCAAGTATATTGCATTTTAATCTTGAACAAACATATGAACAATTCAAGCAGTTGGAAAAGGAGCGCAAGAAATGCGAGGCTGGATTGGCCGCACATTTCCCGGGGAAACGAGTAACCAGCGCAAATAACATACCCATCCCACGTCTTCAGGGAAATCCATCGAGGGTGGATCGTTTGATAATCGATTATTTGAGGGAACACGCTCGTGTCATTACATTGATAGCAAAGGTGAATAAATAATATCGTATGTAAAGACATTTTCCTGTAAATAGGAATAATTATTTCTAATTACTTTTTTTCTTTATATATTATGCAACATATAAAATATATTTTTATTTTAATCCTCACCTTTTTCAACTTAGTTCACATTTTCTCTATATTTACATTTTTGTTTTTTTGTCACTTAACATCTTGTTTTTTTATGTCTTCGTTTTTCCTTATCTAAAATTTCTATACATAATGTATAGTTTATTAAATATGTATATAACTTTTGTAAACCTTTATGGAATAGATGGAACGCTTACGCGGGACCACGATGAATCAACGTGTACACAAAGCCATGGAATATTGGCTGGAAGCTATTAAATACGTTCAAGAGTGCCGCAAGCAAGAGATCACGAATGCTATCAAACGTCAGAAAGAGAATCTACATTGCATTGTAGCGTATGATGACAATGGTGAGTGTTACGGTTAATCAAAGATTCTTGTAAATATTTTTAGAAAGAATGCGATACCACTTGAATTGACAACTAATTTTCAAAAGTAGATTTCTTATGAGCGATTAGTTTATCTTTTGAATAAATTCTCGAAAAATCTATCTTTATTGTGAAGTGATAAAAAAGTAAATAATAAGATAGTTTTTGTCATTTTCCAAGCGTTTACTGATTTAAGTTTTACAGTTAAAACTGATAACTTATAATTACAATTACAATTTTAAAATTCTCTAAAAATTTGTTTTAAAAATGACAAGATTATTTCTTAAAATATATTTATATTACTCTTCAGAGAAGACAGCAATTCTGTACACTGATATGAGAAAAAAGTGTTTGATAGTTATGTTTATAAGTACATGTTATTATGAAACCAAACATTTCTCTTAGCATAAAATTTTTTTATTTAATTTAAGAAAGAACAAAAATCATATCAAAAGTTATCTAATTTGAATATGCAGCAATCAAATATTTAATATTAAAAATCGGAACTTATAATATTTTTAACATCATATGCATGTGTAGATATTCTGACTTTGGCTGGAAGCGTTCACGAATTGACGAAGGCATCGCGTTACGCGCGAACTGGTATGTATAACGCTCTTCAAGCTACACTACTTTATGACTTGGACATAGAGAAGAAAGTCATCCAGACTTCTAAGGATCCAGTCTTAGAGGCAAAAATCGATGGCGAAAGACAAACGAAAGACGGAACCAACGATTACACAAGCAATACCTAGCAAACTTGCGCTGAATCCGCTTGGTACCGCTCATCTTAAAGTACGAGAGAGTCCAGCAGCTTTTTACTTACGTACTACGTATTACGTTTTTGAAAAGCTTTTGCTGGTATTTACGATTAATTTTACTGTTGAAACAAAATGCCGCCCATTAAATTCAAAACTTTCACTCGCGATTCACACGAGGTAAATACACACGAATGAATTAAAAGCGTTAAAACAGACATTTGGAAACGCGTGCGACTTTTTACAGGTTATTAATAACTCCATAGTTTTCTACCGTACGTATTTTAATGCTTACGACAGTGTGTAATCGACTTAGCTTTTCAAGAACACCGATTTAGATACGAGAGAGTTTCGCTGAACTGCCTATCCTTTATCGGTTTATCTCTGTCGCGTGTCAAACAAAACAAAAATATATATATATCGCTTTTTCCTCGACGCCAAATGGAAATAAACCGAGAGCAGTGTCGATCGTGTTTGAACCGGTGAGCAGCTGCTAGCTTTGAAATCGTTGACGATTCATGACTCGCAACAAGAACGAGATTGCTCAGATGTATTACATCCTTTAGAAATATGATAGAAAAGAAGTCGTTCTTTGTACAATTACTCGTTTATATATACGTATCCTAAGTTAAATGAGATATAGATAGGCAGAGAACGCCGATGTACTCGTTCAAAAAAATGTTCGGCAGTAACTCGTTAGATTAGCTCAATGTGGCCTTCCTTGAATGTGTGACCCATAATGTGGTAGTAGATGTTCCAGGATTTGAATATTTCTCGCGAAGTGTAAGTGCGATATTTAATCGCATGCAACACGAGCTTATATATATGTAGCTTTTATATATATATATATATATATAGTATGTATATAAAAGCTTCAATATATATATGTATATTAAAATGTTGTTTACATAGTACTAATGTCAGACTTTTCACTACTAATATCGCTGCGGATGTATTCTCACTTTACGAATACAAAAAAGAATGATATATACGACACGCACATGCGCGAACTAATCGTCTACATTTTCACAGGTATACGCACAATGACATCAAGCTACACCCGCACATAAAACATTTGCACAGTATATACATACTTAAATATGTATATGTGCGTATATCACGTGTATATACACATATACATAATATTATTTTATGTCGTTGCTGTGTGTTGCTGTTCCTGCTTTACAAAAGTCACTTATTGTTATTTATGTATCAGAGAGAGCGGAGCGACTAACGTATCGCGATAAAATCGCGAATAATACGCCGAACGCATATCTGTAACAGATGCTAATTAATATCTAAAGTTTCTATTATCTGGCATTTAATTACGCGAAAGAATAATCGAGATTAATAAATCTTTGCGCGCGTGCTTTTATCTCTTTCGTGATAACCGTATCGCGTGTTAACTGTAAACAGCTCAAATTGTTTTAAATTTACCTTTCCAAAATATGAATCTAAAACAATTTGGAAATAAGCTTATCGTGGAACTCAGTCCTTAATCGACCACACGAACCGTACGGTTGTTCGGTTTTTCATCTATTTCTCTTTTTCAAAATGTGTGAACACGAAGATTCACGCGTGTTTTACGAACGTCCGAATATAAAAGTCTAGCGTAATACCACACATCGCGTGTTAAGAGCATTAAAAATACATAGATATGTGTTTGACAATCCCTTTTAAACTGCATGCGATATTATTGCGAACTTATGCATGCGCATGCACACGCATGTACACAATCGTGCGCATACAAACACGTATACTTGTCAATATTTTGAAACTAGAATAAACAAGCATTCTGGCTATAAAATGGGAACAGAACAATGTATGGTCGTTACGAAAGCTACAATTGAGAAAGGCTCAGATTAAAAAACAATTAATTGACAGGATTGGTTTTAAATGTAAAATTACTTTTTAAAAGATTTTATTTTACAACGCGAATTGCTCTTGAATTGATGTTTAATAAAACAATGACGATTTTAAAATCAGTTTCGATTGCTGTTAGTCTCAGAGATTTTACGGTGTTTTAATTATTACAAATTAATATTTTTCCATTGCCATTTTTGGCTGACAAGAGGAATCCCAGAAATAGTACTTTTAGATTTAGATATTAATTTTTTTATAACTTTATCAAATGTCAAAGAAGAGATTCCGTGTTTGGCAATTTTTCCATATAGGCGTTAGTTTTCGAGTTTTTAAATTTCGAAAATCACCCTTCGGGCGACATAGATGAACCGTTTCATTAATATGCTTCGTAAACAATACGGCTAGCTCAGGTTAAGTACTGGCATTGAAAATCAAAGGATGCAAATTCGATCCAGAATAAACCAGTTTCGATATCGACCCAAAATTTCTGGGATTCTTCTTGTAAGATTGAAATTTTAGCTCAAGTTGAATTTATATTACATATGGTATATTACCATACATTTTTTAACATTATAGAATTAAAAAGCTATTCATTATATTGTAAACTGGTTTAAAATGTATTCTTTTGAGTAGGATATTAGTTATTCTAGTTTCACAAGTAATGAATACAATGATTTTATATGTATATGTAAACGGCTGTTTTTGACCAACGGCATTTATATTTCTATTATTTTTATTAAACAGATTTTTTCTTAATCAAAATAACGTCCATCGTTGATTTCAATATATGTTCTTTTTTTTTATCTGAGAAATTTTGCATTAATATGACAATTGCATTGAAAAATTCAAATAATGAAAAGTGTCAAACATAATCTTAGGTAGTGAGCTAACATTCCTGAAAGAAAACGCCGTTCGTCGAAGACACCTTGCGTATTGTATGCATACGTATGTGTATCCGTGCTCGTCGCAATAAAGCAGTATAAGTGCGCCGCGTCCGTATTATGTAAATAAAGAAAGCGATGTCACAATATAGTCGAAAATATGGTAGGAACTGACCAATGTTCGAGGCGCGAGACTGTTAAACTATGATTACCATATACATATATATTATATCATAAAAACGACATACATGCATACATAGACCAACATTTATATAAATTTTCACAACGACAAAGCTGCAAATTGATAGTTTAAAATTGAGAGAGGACAAAGAGAGGTATAGTCAATTTCTCTAAACACTTTTCTTAAAATTGGAACTTAGATAATTACAAATTATAAATTCTTTCCATCTTAAACTATCAATTCCAATTCGACCTAAGAAATGAAATGCTTGTCTTATGTATATATGTCGTCGTCTGAAACTTAAAAACGATGCTTCTGCGGTGACGCACTTCTCGAGCACTCGTGATAACGATCGTATCGTTATTCGACAACGTTGTATCGAAACTCATATCTCTCGTCGTAGATAAACTCGCGAATCACGTCCGCCATTAAATATCGTGAAAGTATTTCTCTAAACGGCTTGTAAGATTAATGTTAAATTGATGGTAGCGTGTTAAATTACGATCGATACGTACTCGGAGCTATCAACGGTATAGTCGATCCGTAGTTATTTTTCTAGTTAGTTTTTCTGTCCTACTTAAAAAGAGACTCGTCGTGAGACCGCTACTTGCGATATATATAATTTGTTACTTGCGACTTGCGTTTATAGAGTTATTGATTTGACGCGACCACTTTGCCATGTCCTAAAGTGGCAGAAGCTTTTGTAGACGATCAGTATTTATACGTTGAAAACTGAGATATGTTGATTAATTTCTAAAGTTTTAATGAATTTGTTACTTTTTTTTTTTTTTTATTGAGACTTCAAGTCCGGTTCAGTTCTTTTTTTACTTACACGTTATGTAAACTTTATAGTTGACTTGTAGTTGTTTGATGTTTTAATCGTTCAATTGTTCCTATATAGAGAAGATTTAGAGAAATTCTATGTACTAAACTATTAGACTTGGCTAGTCGAGCGTATGTAGTATCGAGGTCCTTTTCGACTTACACTGTCTACATCGTATTTTTTCGTTCTTCCTAAATAGCTAGATACTGCTTTCGAATTCGCCTAAGCAGCTTTAAGTGATGGGGTAAAGCTGAAATCATAGGGCCTCGTGCTATGCTCATTACGAATTTTACCATATTATGTGTTTCAGCGCGTAGCGTTATTTATTATATAAATTTATTATTCGTTCGCTTATTAATATACAATTTCGGATACTCCTTTTGCATTGACACTACGATATTGTACCTCGAATTTAGTAATAGCTAGAGACCAGCGTGTATAGATATTTGAAGGAGCTTTTGTTCTGTCGATAGATAATGGGGTTAAGCGAGACCAGGCGATGGTTTTCGTTTGCGTATAATACCACGTACTGGATTCTGTGCGTGTATCACAATTTACATGTATTCGGCGTAGCGAGAACAAATGTGTAGGCAAGGTAATACTGCGAGCAACAATGCGAAGTGAAAATCGTGGTGTAATGTTATCAAAATGTACAGGACTCCTATTTTGACTGTATTATCTTTTATAGGCCGATGTATAATAATGTGAAAATGAGAGCTTTTCATAAAATGGAAGGAAGTCTTTTTTTTTTATGATTCTCACAACGTAGCGATTTTCATTGAGCAAGTCTTTTGTATTACGTCCCTTATACCAATTTTCGTCTCGCTGTTTAAAGAAGAAATTGTCCTTTTAATAATAATTTTAACATCATATTTATTGTTTTGCATTATATTAATTTTTTTGCTTTTAACTTTGCCGAAGTTAGAACAGGTTTTAATAAATTTTAATATCCATTAATAGTTTAAGGATATCGACTTCAATGGCCGTAAGATAATATAGTAAAAATGGGACATACCGTATACGTATAAACGACACACAAACACACAATATAAACACATGTGTTGATATATTATAGATTTATATGTATGCGTGTTAGAAATCGTTCTCGCCCTTTTCACACAATGAAGGGACAAAGTGCGTCGGCCTATACATCGCGACTTTGCGATCGCTGTGAGCGAGAATATACATAAGAAAATATATCGAGAGCTTCTTAGATAAAGCTAGGGAACAATGTACGGCTCTATCTCTT